ACACACACACACACACACACACACTCACACACTCTTTTTCTCTCTCTGTAGTACCTTGAGCCGTCAGCCTGCTGGCAGGAGTATCTTCTGAGATGCTCAGTGATGAGAAAGCCTTAGGGATGTGTGGCTCTGAGCCTCTAATCTGAAATGGATGACGTGAAGATGTGAGCATCAGTTATATTTAACTCAGCTGTTTATTTGTTGGTTCGTGTATCCGAAGGAACGAGAGCTTTGCTGACCACAGTGCTGGATGTAGACAGGGAGCTGGAGGGTCTCCGAGAGTTAGGAGCTGGTGCTGGTGGGTCGCATCTCCAGAACCACAGAGAACTCTCAGAATCTAGACAAACAGAACAAAAATCACTTAAATGATTTAGGAAACAATTGACAAAATTAGAGGACATTTTTCACAATACAACTGCTGGTTACGTATTTTCAGACCCATATTATATAAGGTATAACTGTCTCCTCCGTCATAAGGAAGATAATTTCCCACAGATACAAGAAGCAAAGCTTACCCAGTGACTCACTCTCCCGAGAACTGCCACTGCCAGCAGGTTGTAGTTGGAACGTGTACCTGCCTCGGTAACAAACGGAGGCAGAGAGAGCCACATGCTGGAAGAACTGACAGTGGTAGAGCAAAGCCTGGAGCGCCGGGAGACCCACCAAAGAGAGGCCAGACACCTCATCATGGACACATGGGTGCTGGGAGAGGGGATGATCAATGTTGGAAAGGTGAGTGCACAGGAAACTACTGCATCATCTCCACAAACTTTCCACAGAGTTCAGACAAACGATTAAACACCGAAAGGTTAAAGGTTAAATCACTAGATCTACATTTTCAACATGAAATATTTAACCTTTGTCTCTTTGCAGTTTTTTTTCTTTTCAAATCCCCTTATGACAACCATCAAATGCAAGAGTGACCTGATTTGATCTAAATCGGATTCTGTGAATAACAATTCTGACTTTTAAAAGATGAGATTATTTCAAACTAAGATGCTATTGGTATTTAAACTTAATTATTTTGGGTGCGAGTGCTCGAGGCCTGCACCCTAGTAGAGCCTCGACTCTAGAAACACCTCTGATTCTACCCCTGCTTGGAGGAGAGTACAGTAAGGAATGGGAGAGGTCAGAACAGAGAAGGAGAGAAGCCGAGAAAACAGTTCACAGTCTATAAAAGTTTTTTAATGGGTTGGCAGAGCTGCTGACCTGCCAGTCTGAGTCCTTGGCCTCCTCTGCGTTGGCTGGCATGGGCATAACCAGCAAGTTCTGCAGGATAAAAGCAGCCTGAAAAAGAAAACACGAAAAAAACACACATGCATGGTGGATCTGGTTAGACTGCATCTACAACAGTGCCATCTTCCTGTATTTGAATGGTACTTCAAGAGGCCAAACATATTCTGACCACAGTGTTAAACAGTTGTTTGTAGCAAAGTTAAAAATGGAAAGTCATTTTCGGACACAGCAACAACAGCGGTTGCTGCGATTTGACAATTTGCAGTTGATTTGGTTTAGCTTTTGTCAATCAAATATAAAAACTGCGACAATAACACAATTGCAGTTCCAACATTGTACCTCTCTGCGGATCATGCTGCTCTCCTGCTGATCCAGGAGGATGTTGAGCAACGTGCCCCACAGACCTCCACTGATGTTCTGACAGCTCGCACACAGAGCCTGGCACCCACTGGGCACCGACGACAGAGCTCCACCCAAAGCCAAGCTGGCGAACCTCACCTGAGACGAGAGGGGAGACATAGAGTTCGGAGAATGTTTGAGGACAGAGAGGGAAACAGGAAGAGAAGGATACAGGACAATAACCTCCATGTCAGAATATGGTACAATTAACTGTCATGTGCTTTGTTTTGTCTGTGAGTTCACACACAACTTTTAAGGGTTTCATTTCTATCATAAAAGCCAAGAATCTGGAAACGTACTTTTATGCCCCCATGATGTACACATACGTTAAAGTGTGATTAGGAGTAGTAATTGTCTTTACCTCTGGATCTCGATCCACCCATAGTGGGATGAGCCAGGCCAAACCCAGCTGAGAGTTACTAGCCTCCTCGGCAGCTGCCTCATTTCCCAAAGACCACTGGGAAATGAAGTCCTTGATGCAGAAAAAATGAAGATAGGAGTTTTGTTTGAATTAATTAAATGTTGTTGCTGTACTGCGTTGACTGACTCTTTAACAGTTTTTATGGCTGCGGTTAGTTTTGTCCTCACAGCTCTATGAGCATTGCTGACACTTGCCTTGTCCTTGTTTTCAGTCAACATCTCATGCGACAGGTGAAGCAGAGAGATGACGGCATTCTTTGTCACACCTTTCCCCATGAACGACATAGAGTTTCCTCCCCACTCAACATAAAAAGAGGAGATCACCTGTGAAAATGACAGACGAAGATTATAATGGGAATAATTGAAAAAAGAGAGCAGTCAGTGCAGTGCATTCATTTATTTCATTGGTTTCCTTTCCAGAGTTTCTCATCCTGAAAAAACATAGCTGGCAAAACAGCATGTTGATTGGATTTGGTAAGTGGTTGCTTTTTGAAAACCAAAGAAAAAGTCAGTGAACAAAGTGTTTCAGAGAGTCGGTGATTACCAGATACTTGTCATGCAACTCACTGCATCAGATAGAAAGATAAATACAGCAGGGGCTAATTATTTCACTTTGATGCACCATCAGGATGAGGGACTGCACTGAAGAGCAGATGACGACTGAGGGTCCTAAGGCCTGCTGGGTTTTAGGGCACTACAGTGTCATGAGTACAGCGTGAGAGATGGGTCACAGGGTGGGCATCTGATCGTTGGAGAGAGTTGAGAGTTGGACCTGGACTTAAGTACTGGAGGTGTTGAATAAAACATAAATCAAGCTCCAGTCCTCATCTAATCTTAATCCATGAAAGCTGCCCATTATGTACACAGAATAGTCTATTCCACAGGGGGCTTCATTCCAAAACACAGATAAAACTGTGGACACTTTTATGCTGAGCGCTGCTTCTCAAGCTGGTCCACACTGTTACACTATTGTTTTATGGACTGTTGAACAGCTGAACAGATGGAACAGGCAAGGCTGATTAATCTCATCAGCCTCACAGTGTGGCACGTCTGATCAATGACATTTTTTTTACGAATTGTGATTCATGTCCCATAACCATATTTTGCTTCATTTTAATTAATTCCTCAGAAAGTTATGCACTTTTTTTGTTTTGTGGATTTTTGTAGACAGTCTCATCTCTGATGAAAGGGTACGAGACACGAACCTCTAGCAGCCCACTGAGATACTTTGAGCAGAGGGAGACGGGCTCCAGGTCAGGGCAGTGAGAGCTCCAGCCAGGCTGGGCAGTCAGGCCGACCATGCCCTGCAGCGTCCTCTCCAGGCTGGGAAGGCCATAGAAACGAGGGGCATCAGAGACCCGCAGGCTCCGGAGCAGACACACTGCCAGCTGGCTCTTGAAGGGGCCCGCTAATGCCAAACATAGCCTGGACAGACAGTAGTGAGAAAGAGCAAAATAGGATGCAAATCAGACAGGAGGTGAGACAAGAGGCTGAGGAAAAATAGGCTTTTTATGTGTTGAGCGTCCATGTTCTAAATGACTGAGCGACCAGCATTTCCATCACAAATTAGCTCTCTTGGTATTAATCAATTTTCTAACCACACAGGAAGGTTGAGAAGCATTTATCTTTCAAACAAACTATAAGAGTAATACAAAGATTTATATGTAATATAAATAAGGAAAAATTATGCAGAGGAAAATATAACAGTAAAAGAAGAACTCTGGTAAATATATGCAGAAATCTGTACTTAGTACCTTAAGAGCAATTAAAAACAAATTCAGAGCCATTGTAGTGAATGGTAAGTATTCATCGAAGAAACTCAGGAACCTTTATTTACAATGTTAAATTGTAATAAAACACAAAACGAAGAGACGAGTGAAGAGTTGCTGCTTTCGGTGGGAAATCTTCCTACCTGTCAGTGGTGCATGATATGCGGAGGAGTAATGTATTGAAGAAGCTGGTGAGTTCTCTCTGCAGTCTCTGGCCGACGTGGTTCTTCACTTCTTCTGGTTCCCCTGAGTTCTGAGTCGAAGTCTGAGTTTCCACAACAAGCAGCAAATTCAGGAGGGACACCGACTCCTGGATGATTAATGGATGAACGAACAACAGATTTTAATGCAATTAGTTACAATTCATCCAATCTCAATAACACGATACTTGCATGTTTCGTTCAACAAATTTTGAATGTGTTGGTGAGTTTCATTTTCCTTTTTATAGATCGTACTTAAGGTAAATGGTAAAACAAAAGTTCTGGGATTTATCTTCCGACCTTTCGACTCAAACATGGAGGTGTATTTGTCCGAGCACCTTCTCTCCCTTAAAAACTCAGATGCAGAATTTCTCACAGAGAGCAGTGCACGTCGAGTAGATAGTGAACGCAAGTGTAGGAAGCGACAGATGTTCCTGAAACAGCTCAGTAATTACAGAAAAGTTGGAGCAGAGCAGAGCCGCTCACCCCTACCAGGCATTCAATCTGAGTCTGCTTTAGCTGCCAGGGGAAGGCTTATTGTTTACACACACATTAATGAGAAAGCCAAGGTGAGACTGATTAAATCCTAAAAGCAGCTCTCCCAACTAAAACAGTGCGGTGATTCTCCTCCTCCGGCAAGAATATGAATCCAACTCTGTTTTAAGAGAGCTCAGGAAATAATCTGTGCCGCAGGTCGGAGGTGGTGCGCTGTGATACTGCTATTCTGTTTTTATGAAAGCGTAATGCGTTTGGCTCGTGTGACGGCGTGTGATTTATTGACGCATTGATTACAGGGATAGAACCCTCTGTGTTGGGGAGGAGAGTCTGTTTAAGGTTTAGAGAAATGTTAGCAAGTAAAACATGCAGAAACATTTGACTAATATTTCAATTTGTATTTTATTTTTATGACGAACAAACTCTCTACCGCCCCAATGCCCAACCTGTCCAAACACCTGGAGGAGCAGGGGACAGAATAAAATAGTTAACAAGGTCACATTTATTTATCATGGAAATAATGAATTAACTGGTTAAGAACAGACATGGATACAAATAAAGGAAGAACATTTTTTTTCTAGGACATTAAAATAATTATACTATATTTTACTGTGGTCTGCATGAATAAATATACTTAATTGAAAAAGACAGCTCAGGGGTATCAAGGAAACTGAATAGTGGATCCCAGATGGGGAGAAATTTGTCCTTGGACCCTCTGAGTAAATGTTTTAATCTCCTCTAGCTATATAAATTCTATCAGGTAACTCAACCACAAAGAAGCTTTGGGTCGATTTATTCATTCCCCATGTAATATTCCTCTTTTGCCTGTGAGCAGTGTCGTAAAATCAATTATGTTTTTATGTCTTTTCCTTCATGTTGGATGTTTTTAATCTGTAACACAAAATACGGTGACTGCTGCTGACATTTGCCCTCTGTACAGCAACATTCCAAAGGTTCTGCTCCATGTCTTCCCTGGCAAGTAGTATTTTTTTTTTTTTTAGAGAAGTTATACAATTCCTGATTATTGAAATTGGCCATTTTTGACCTCAACCACAACATCTAAGCTTGAAAATGAAGATATGTTTGGAAAATGTAGGTCATGGCTCCAACAGAAGTGATGAACTTGAAACTAGCTGGATTAAATTTGCACCATAGGTTTTCAATGTTTGTTTCTAAACACTACATCTTTAAATGTATCTATGAATCTATAAATAGGAAATGTTTAAACATTTCTGCCTAAATTCAAAACTGTTTTTTTTGGGAATTGATGATGGATGGACTTTTAATAAAGTGTGAAATAGAAAGAAGAGGACTGAAAGTATCCAGAGCTGTGACAGATATTAAAATGCAAGCTGTGGCTTCACAGTGGCACCAGTCTGCATCAGGAGTTTGAAGCCAGTAAATACTTTTGGGACATTTTCGATAACAGTAGCACAGATTTGGAGGAGCTAAGCCTCCGAGTATTATAAGTCAAAGTAATAATATATGTCCTCTAAGGTTCTTAATGTTCCATATAAATGCAATGAAAGCTTCAGAAAAAGATTTGAAGAGAAATTAAAGAAGTATAACACATAGCAGAATTTGGAGAGCACCTACATTTTCACAAACTATGATTTCTGTATGTTGGAATGTGAGTTAGGTTGCATTGTGTTACTAGAAAGAGTCCAGAATTTGGTTTGAAATGCTCCATGTCAGTCCTGTGGTTTGTTATTTCTGATGTACTCTACGTAGGTTTAAGTAAATATTTGCTTGATTACTCCTGGCAATGTTCTTAAAGAAATTAAAGAGAAGAGGAAAGTCTAACCAGATAACGGAGATGCACACATGCATATTGCACAGGAATATACACACACAAAATGACAGCAGTTCATATTACTAAGTGAAAATATAACATTTTGATAACATGGCTGCTGGCTCTCTGGGAAATCTCCAGTCACATGATCCATAGAGTAATGTTATACCAGTGCATCCCAACTTCAAGAATATAATAATTAAACCAATTTGTGTCACACAACTCTCAAATATCCCTTGAATCCCCAAAAAATATATTGTTCTGTTATTGTGGGGTTTTTCTGACAGGCTTGTCTGCAAAGTTTAAATTATCTGTACCTGGCTGAGAAGCAGCTCTAGTATCCAGCGCAGGTCCTCGTCCTCTGGGTCAGATGCAGACTCAGTGTGCATCTGTCTGAAGTAGGCATTCAAAAATGCAACAATGCCCACCAGCAACCTCTCATCCTCAACACAGGCTGGGCGCACCTGGAGAAACCTGCAGGGATGGAGAGACAAAGAAAATGTCAACAGGAGGGAGCAAAAGTGCCTGAAAGGAAGATACTCAATAACAACATATTCTGAAATACATTAAGAGAGAAAATCAGGTTCTATCCATTTTTGTTTTCCCTATTTATCTTCTTTGTTTTGTTCTGTTGTGAACAATCATTGCACAGAGGAAATATTTGTTTACGGTGATATGCCATAAGAGAGGAAAAACCTAGACTTGGCAGTGGGTGGTAGTAAACTGATGGAATCCACTCAAGGTATTTAAGAAAGAAATCCAATCTTAGAAACAAAGATTTCAATAAAGATTAAAGATAAAAGATAAACATATTATGTATTGTTTGCTAGATAAATCAGGGCAACATTCAGGAACAAAAGTAATAAATAAATCTGAACAATGCCAAGCAGAAAAACTAACACGTACGATTAATCAAGGTACCAAACTTAAATATTTTTATGAGAATACTTTTAATAAATATATTTACAAACAGAAAGCATTGCTCTACAACAGCAGTAATAATGATAATGGCAGCCATAAAAGCCCTCCCATTATTTTCTTTATTTATAAACCTTAACAAGACATATTTACTGACTTTGGTTATTAGCACATGAAACTGCAGTAATTAAATGCGTGTGCGATGTACCTGGTCACTGCTGATTGCCAACTGAGTGAGTGTAGAGTGTCTCTGCAACTGTGGCTGGGGACATGAGGGAGGGTCAGTCTGTCAATCAGCAGGTAGAGGCTGAGCCTGGAGAGGGCAGAGGTCACAGACCTGTGTCCTGCTGCCTTGCCAATGGCCTGGATGCAGTCCTGCAAAGCGGCAGGGAGGTGCACCACCCGCAGCCACAGAACCTGTTCGTCTGACAGCTTTAAGTCATGATGAAATCTGGGAAGAACAAATTCCTAATGGTTAAAATATTTATATTCAAAATTTGATTAAGTGACTACTGATGTGCTGACGAGCATGTTTCATAAGAAGCAGCATTATAATAAATGCATTAACAAACACATTGGATCAATCTGGAGGGATGACACATTTACCAGTCATTCTGCGAGAGTGGTTATTTGACACTTGCTTGTGAAAGAAAAAGGATCAAACCAGCTGCATTTAAGAAGCCGTACTCAGGTCAAAACTATGACTATAAATATTCAAATTAATTGTAGTAAGAAACAACAATATCATCAAAGGTTTAAGACTTATAAACTGTATAATATGTAACTTTGGCCACTAGCGGTCTCTGAATCAGAACAATAACAAAAAACCTAGTTGTTGTGAAGCAGCGTGGGATCGTGGGAGATGTTGTCTTCACCCACATTGCAGAAGAAAATCTACCCCACACGACTCAGGCACATATTGACGGATGTTGTCAAAGTTGTTTGGCCTGGAACTTATAGCAGAGACAGCCAAAGCCACGGGGAAAGCTGATATAACGCAATTAAAAGGCAACCAAAATGAAATGTCCCATTACTTTGAATAAAATTGGGTATTTTTCTGGGTTGGAAACTAAAGCATGTAAGTACACAAGTCAACAAAATAGGTCTATTTGTTTTTAGACATTTTAATGTATAGAATTGTGAGGTATAAAACCTTTCAGTTTAAGACAAAGTAATAAGTCTAAGGAAGGCACATTTCAATTTCCACGACAAGCTCATCTTAAACAAATACTCTGCTCCAGATGATAATGTAGCTTCAGACAGATTGATCCATGTATGGCGTATTTTAAATGTCTTTGCTGTAATTAAACTTGATTAAACTGTATGAGAGACGCTGCAATCTGTTTGAATTAGGTCACATTAGGTGTAAATGGAGACAGATTAAACATAAGATGCTGAGCCTCTGAAACTAATTCTTTCCTACAAAATTCTCCATAGAGAAAACAATGTGTGCACGTGAGATACTGTATCATTCTCTTTCTGTTGGTTAAAAAAGTCCTGCCAAGTAATTACTGCTCTGTTCTGCCATTTTCACCAAAACTTATTATTTTGTGCCATAGACAAACAAAATATTGCATAAAATCTCAATAGATAAATGAATAAATTTGAAAATGAAAACCAATTAAGAGACAATAAAAGACAATTACATTTCTCGTGACTCAGTGACTTTACTCTCCAGACATCTATCATAGCATTTACATAAGAACACAACTTGAAGGAAGAAACATTGAGGTTCTTACTCAGGGTCCCTGCTTGAGCTGCCATGCAGCTCCTCAAGGAGGTTGTCTATCCCAGAATACCATGCAGTGTTCCAGGCCACCTGCAGGGCTTGGCGCGCAGGGGCCAGGGTCAGGAGGCCAGAGGATGAAGGCAGGACGCAGCAGTACGGGCTGACTGCGTGATGACTCGCTGCCTGGAACGGGAGGTTGTACCTGGGAGAAAAGTTAGGAGAAGATAAATATGTGGTGAATATTGCTTGTGATGTGTTGTTGATGAGGGGAAAGCAGCCCCTAATGTGATTTGAAAAGATGCCCTTCACAACTTCATGGATGATGTTACCTGCGTATTACTGTCAGTGGTAGGGAGAACGGTGCGAGTGTCACATCTGTGCTGGATTTGTCCGACCTTATGTGACAGGAAAGGATCCAGTAAATCAAATTTCTGCATGGTCGTACACACTGTTATTAGAAGTATAGTTTAGCTTAAAAGTAAACAAAAAACTAACCATATTTCTATGCCAGCAATCTCATCAAACAGCAGCAAACTCATTAAGATAGCGATCTCATTTCCACTGCTTTTGTTCTCCTTTAATATCAGGGATGCTAAAATAGAGACACATACATACAAAATATATGAAAGCATAATATCCACACTTTATCTCTCCTCTTGAACATATATTTGAGAGTTTTCCTTTGAAATTTCATTAGACAGAGAGAGACCAACACTTCAATGAGAGTGTCACCCCACTACTGGCTTTGCTTCCGCTATGATATTATCATGATTCTGAAATTAAAGGTAGAGTTGGTGAGTTGTTTCTGAAACACTTTTTGTCTTGTTTGTTGAAATCCTCTTCACGTCCCGATATCCAGCAATGAATAAAGTTGTGACATGTTTGTCTGCTGTATCTGTCTGTCACTAACCGACCTGACTGCCTGTGTGCACCGTGCTGTCACTGCGCATAACTAGAGTCTTCAGCCAGGGATCCATACACATCTGAAATAGAAACAAGTTAGCGGGCGGGTCACAGAAAAGTCGACTTCTATCAGTTGTCAGTCAGTGCACGTTCATGTGTTTTGGGGCCGTAGCTTTGACGAGAGAGCCGATGGGAAGGAGTGGGATGTATCTCTCGCATTTTTTCAATTTGTGGCCTGCTCCTGCTAGCTTTTCCAGGATTACCAACCTTTGCTTTAATGTGCTTTAAAAATGAGCAGTGCAAACATTACAATTTGTAATCTATATATTTTTTTGACAAATATGCTCTAAAAACAATACAGGTAGTCCTAATCAAGATGTTATGATTTAAAATGAGGGGCTGACAACAAAGTTACAGCAGTGCAAATGAATCTCTAGACGATACACTGGTGCTGAGATGAGCTCCATAGCAACCAGTTGCATCATACTAATATGCCACTTACTACAGTGTGACAACATGGTTAAAAGCTATGCATCAATGGATGCCTTGTCATCTTTTTTTGAGTATGTGCCCTCGAGCTACACAACACAACGTGTATAGCTGTTACTTAATGAGCTGTCTTGCGAATGTACCCCTAAGCAGTGTGAGGAGCAGGAGGTTGCGCTGTGCCAGGCTGTGCCTCAGAGATGGATCAGCATACACCAGCTTCCTCAGGATACATACACAAGGCTCCAGCAGGCAATCCAAGCTCTGGGGAGAACAACAACATACACACTTGGTGTTTAATTGCAGGGAAAACACAAACAAACACACATTCTCTTTCCATCTTCCGCTGCTCTGTCTCACATATAAATGCACAGGAGCTCTTTACTGTCACTTCACATCAAATAAACCCAAATTTAATGATTGCGCAGGTTGCCGGCAGTGGAGGGTTGGAACAAATACGACCTGCAGGCATCGCTCTTTTACACACTTGTTAGCTGAGACGAGTCATTCTCTGTGGCCCCTGTTCTTCCACCAACATAGAGCCATATATGCTGGATGATTACCCCTGTTAGCAGCTTGTGATTCTGATTCCTGGGAATGATCAGCAGACTGGAGTAACTAGAGGGGAAAAATCACTGCTGACCAGGGCCTGTCTGACACTATTAACACAGGCCATTTCATCCTTCAATCATGCACGCCTCAGTGGGTTTCCACCACATCTCCTGGCTGCACATGTCCTCGCATGAGCACATATAAGAGAGGACATGAGCACAAATGGAAGCACTTGTTAGAGTGTTTATCGGATACAGGGTTTGTTTTATTTGGCGTCAACTGCGATTCACTCGGCACACATTCACTTATCACTTCACCAAAGCTTGTTTTTACCTTGTTGCCGTTGACACTTCCCATAATGAAAGTAATGACTTTGTCTGTTATTCCAAGATTCTTCAGCACTGGGTGCATTGTCGTGTCTGCAGGAAAACAAGAGAGCAATTCACAACACTGACAGTAGACATTTGCATAATCTTCAAATATTTGCTTCCACTGCTTGTCTAAAACATATGGTGGTATGATGGCACAAGCTCTGTGCCGCGCTGCTGCAAAATGTTGTTTTCACACAAGGAGATCTTTCACTTGTGTATCAGAAAAACGTTTAATGTTTTTTGAATCCTATCAAGTAGATTAAATGTATTCTACAATAGATAAGGCATTTTTAACCTCTTTTCATATCCTTGACAATTTAGGCACTGAACTACATTATGGAATATCAAACTGTTATTGAGATGAGACTTGTTAGGAACTGCATTTTTGTACACTTTGCAGTGATACTATCTTATTTACAGATTTGCAGATGCTCGTGGGGTCCAACTAAAAACAAATGACGTTTGTGAGACCAAAAATACAGCTGTTGGAAAGATCCAACATGTAATCACTGTGTTTAATACTCAATCATATTTATTTTCTCTTTTACAATTAACTCACCTTGCAGCACCACAGACAGCTGCTCGGCTGCCGATCTTTTCAGAGCGATGTCAACAGTGTCTGAGGACAGGATACAAAACAGCTTCTCCACCGACTCCACCTTGCCACAGTTAAATACGATAAGTAAACACGTATTTCTGTTAGAATAATGTCCCTTTATCTATGTTGGTAGGTTCATACCTTGAGAACAGACTTGCTGTTTGTGTCCAGTGAGATGTCCAAAGGATTTCTGACGCAGTAGAGATTGGGTAGCGTGGAGATCACTGGTTGATCCAGGTCTGGTCTGACTGTTTTAGCTTCATCAGTGTTGGTTAGGTGAGGAATGACTTGTTGCACTGCTGCTGTTCTCACACTGTTTAGAGGAGAAATTGAACTGAATATCAAACTGACTTAAAAACAACATTTACTTTTTAATCTATCTTTAAGCTCTGATACAAAGTTGAATGTTACCAGCATTTCATGTTTTTTTAAATACAGCATCAAAATGACAAATCTATTATTAGACAAATCTTTCTGTTGCCAAAATGTTCGAGAGCTTGTCTGCTGCCCAGTGTCTACCGTTAATTTCCATCTCTATCAATATTCATGGACTGGGACAGACTGCTGTTCAGCACAGTCCTCACTGAGCATTTAGATGACTTGATGTGCACACTACCTGACAAGCAAAAGACTGGTAATATGTCCATCACTAGTGTTGTAAGACAAAATCTCTCCAGAGTTCGCCTGAACTCATTTATACAAACATTCCTGTTACGCACACATCTGGGCAGGCACATCACCCACAAACAAACAAACACAGCGACGCACAAATACAAACACAGACAAAAAAAAAAAAGACCTAAACTCACGCAGGCTGTTTAGTGAAAAGGAGACGGAGTGCTGCTTTTAGTTTGGCTGAGCTTGGAAACACGTTGTCTCTTGTCACGTCCGACGTGTCACTTATCAGCAGGACACAGTTACCCAGTGACTCTTCGGTGCCGGCAAAACCCTGCCACACACACACACACACAGACACACATAGTTTGACACTGCTTTTGCAGACAATGGAGCAAACAATGGGGAATTCCAGCTAAGCAGCTCAACAGTAAATAAAATATGCATCGCTTTGATTACGGGTGGTTTCATTTCGTCTCTTGTTGACATGGCGGGCCCATCTCTGAATGGCCTCCTTGAATTAAATCACACATGACAGCCTAGTCAAAATCTCATGTATATTCATGAAGAATTTCCAGGCTTTCTGTTGCCTGAAACTGAACAATTAATAAAAGCTTGTTTTTTCCACCCAAAAAGGAAACAATATAACACAGAATATGTAAATGAGAGAATAACTACATTTTTCTCACTGGCAGCTCAATATGCTGTCTTTGTGGCCCAAGAGCGCTTAAATTGCACTTTTGATCACAGTTGTTTTGATTGTGGAGAACATACCCCTCCCCGCTCCATTAATATAATGTAATAACTTCCAAATATGATGCTGCTTTATGAGATCTGCAGTTGCCGGTACAAATAAAATGGAGCCTCCACAAGAGCACAACACCTGCAATATGGGCATGACCGGGTAAAGTGCCTCATTGAAGCTGTCCCAGGTTGATGCTGTCATCATCAATCGTCCCTTGAGCAGGAATAGCAGGATATCCTTGGCAGCAACGTTCACCTATAGATCACAGGTAAAGTGCTGAATTCACAAAGGCACTGCTGCTGAGAAGACATTTGATAACAGGTACAGTCAATGATAGACTTTCAAACATCTAGATGACATGCCACTCGTGAACCCTGACATTTTAGCATGCCTTTACAAGCACAATCCCAGTAACTTTACTCTGCATTGTGCAGCATTTATTCCTTAAAGCCCCTAAATAAACTAACATATTAAAGAACTGGACAGAATGAAGGTTCTAATAAGTACCAATAATATCCTACTTTTTCTGCAGAGTCCTGGAGTCCAAACGCGCTTATTTCATAGAGCACTCTGTGGTGGAGCAGGAAGTTGATTCCATCACAGGCTCCTTTTTGCTGTCTTGACACATTCTGGATGCCGACGCAGTCCTATGGGTGTATGTAATCACACAAACGCACACCATGAAGTGTCGCTATCCTCTCACTTGTGCATGCATACGAGAGTTCCAATTCACTTTAAATGTAACCATGCACTCTAGACAGTGCTTGGTAGAAAGAACACGAAGACTGATTTCAAATGTCAAGAGATTTTTTTTTCACAGCAGACTGTCAAAGATGCTTGATCCATCCATCTTCATCCTATTTATCAACTTAAACAGACACACCTTATTGCTCTGGTGCATGTTAGTCACGAAACCAGTGCACTTATTTAAACACTGTAAATAAAATGGCTTGCTCTGACCTTGACCATGTTGAGACAGCATGTGTACGTATCCGTCTTGACGGACGGTAAAGAATGAGACAGCAACTTGAGAAGAAGTTTCTGGCTCTCTGTCTGGAGAAGCGGACTAGGCTGATCAAACTTCCACCTAGTGATGGATGACCAACAGATGCAATGTTTAGACACAGAATAAAAAAATTACTTTACACCACAAAACACTTTTTCAGTATCTTACAGGTAAGAGCAGATGTGAACACATTCTTTGATGATGGGTAAGTGCTGGTGAAACGGGAGGCCGTCGATGGCCTGGTCTGCCAGCTCCAGTAACTCCAACCAGTTTTTTTCTCCCTTGGTGAATAAATAAAGGAATTAATATTACTCGTCACATGCCATGCAGGTTTTCCTCATGAAATCTATACCTCAGCTTGTGCTTCCTTGAGAAAGTTGCAAGTGGACTCCATCCAGAGGGCAGCGCGGGTCACCCTCCTGTAGAGGTTGTGGTGGTCAGAGTTCACCTGCTCCAAGTAAGCCACTGCTGTCTCTTGCATGCTGGGTAATAAACTTCCCAATGATGTGTCCAAGCATAGATGGAATACAGCTGTCGCAGTGCTTTCTGGGAGATTGTCACCAGCCTGAACAAGGAAAGAACTTTAATTTCTAATCTCAAGTCAAAGAATTTACAACAGATTTGGTCAAAGAGGCACATACGCACCTTCTCAGGAGGGAGGATGGTCTGTAGGAGTTTAATGGTGAATATGGCTGTGCCTGTGTAGGCCATTCTGTGGTGAATCTGAGCGCTGTGAGAAATGTCTGCTGGATGGCTCTGATGGTAGCTCAGGATATCGCTCAGTAACTCCATGAAGGCTTGCAGCTTCTCTTTCTGAAACACAAAGAGACAGAAATGTAGAAGAAAGAACACACACCGCACAAACAAACAAACACACAGACGTGTGCACATGTACTCACATCACGTGCGTGTTCATATTCAGACACACACTGAGGCACAGCTACTGGCTGAGAGCCAAGGAGAAAAATTGTTCGTTCCAGAGGTTAGGAATTGAATGTAATCAGATTTCAGAGTTATTTTGGGACGAGATACAGATCCACCCTATCTCAGTATGAATAAATTGGGACAATCTATTCTCAGCCAGTTTATTGTGTGAGCAGAGAATGAACAATAGGAGATAAGCACCAGCAGGGGGCAGTAGATGTCCTGTGCTTTGCTGTGGATGGCCTGAACAGTTCGGCGCATTCCCATAGGAAAAACCTAGAGGTCTGGCACAGAAAAGCTGCTCTCCACATAAAGATGACAAAACAGTTCTCAAGCTGCACGTCTCTGGCCATGTATTAAACAGCAGAGGGCCAAGAGGGGCCTGGGCTTGACAAGTGTATAAGTCCCCCTGCAGAGGAACATACTCTTTAAACAGCCAGGGAGGATAACAAATGATTCTGCATGGTAAAGGGAAAAAACACACAACAACTTAATACAATTCATTGTGTGGACTTTCTACACAAAATAAATGAAGACATTTACTAAGCCAACAATTCTGCTCGGATAAACCCAGGGGTACAGCCAAGAGGTGTGCATGTACGTGTGAGAGGCTCTTTGTCACCAGCAGAAAGCTTTTGTAACCTTATATAATTCATTCAGCTCAATCAATCGCCTACAGTTCTCCTTGACAGTTGAGTACCGTATGCCTCTGTGTCTGTGGCAAACTGTCTGGCGGCCAACCCAGTTCCCCTTTTCAGTGAAGTGTATCCATTCATCTACATAAGAGGCTGTCATGAGCCGTGTTTTGACTTGCCAACTCCATCCCCACCAGGCTGCAATCGTCCCAGACCAACTCACAAACGCTGTCCCCGAGCAGGAGGATGGCATCACAGAGCAGCCCCAGAACACGATGGAACACATGTGAACCCTCTGAGGAAGAAGAGAGAAAGAGAGGGAGGTGGGTGGCTTTGACGAGATCAAATAATTGCTGATAGCGTAGCATCAATGAAGGGAAATGGATGAGTGGATATTTGCTAGATCTCAAACAAAAAAGGAGGAGTATCAGAAAATGATCACTGATTTGTATATTTTCGAAAAATCATCTCAGTTCCCCTGTTATTAAAAAAACTACAAAGACTCCTACCTGTCTTAAGAAGTGGTAGAGCATGCTCCATGATGGAAACAGTGAACTGGGCCAGAGTGAGCTGCTGTAACTGCAGCTCCAGGACATCTTCCACACCCAGGTCAGGAAGCTCCAGATGGGCCGCATCTGCAGGTGACTGTGCCGTCTGCCTGAGGGCCTGGGTTGCAGCACCACCTCTGTGCGAGCTGCCACTGGGTGAATCACAGACAGGAGAGGAGAAGGAGACAACTGTAAATTCATGATCTGTGCTTGGACTGCTCAAATACAGGGAATGACGTATGAGCTGTATAGGGATGCATCTAAAAAAAACAAAAAAAAACGATATGCCATTACAGGAATCAGAAGTGATTTTTCAGCATTGCAGACCAGCCGCTAGAGGGCTCCTGGTGTTATTCAAGTTCATAAAGAAAAATTAAATCCTCCACAGTCTTCCACACATTGTTTTATCTTCATGTGCGGGTTGCTGGTGTCACTTGCAATTTTGTCATTATCAAAGCCACACAAAAAAATCCTACTGCGCACAAGTTTTCAAAACATATGAGACTCTTTTTAAATGTAAGGTCTTATGAACAGCATTGAATGCAGTAGTGAAGCACACCAAAACCCTTTTTGGAGGGTTCTGAAATAACATCACTTACACCTCGGAAGTGATACAGAAGCCAAACTGAGCCCTCACTCAAGATGATTACTAATGACATACAGAGAGACAGACGCAGCTTATTTTCATCATTTCAATTTTTACAGAAATGTAGACACACCTGTTGGAAGCTATATCCCCATCTTGGCCATCTCCCCTGGCTCTTTGGCCTGTACGTCCCACCACAGAGGGTCGGGGAGAGCACTCTCCCCCTGGAGAGGAGGCGTTGGAACGCTGGGTCCCCCGCACCTCCTGGGAGTAGGAGAAGGAGGAATTCTGGGACACTGGATCTAACAGCCACACAACAGAGCAAAAGGTACTATTATTGAGCTATTCAAGTAGAGAGGAAAATGAAATGATGATGACCTTAACATATCCCCTTATGAGACATTAGTCAGAAGGATTGGATAGAAACAGTTGTTAAATCAATTTTCATTTCTAACATCATCTTTATAAGGAAAATGTAGCTCAGCAATATATAAATATTTAAATAAATATAAATATTAAATTTTTTGTATTTATACCTGAAAAATGTAAAACAACTGGATGTGATTGAAAATGATTTCAACAATTGTCTGAAGTGCAACTGGGTGATTGTTGCTTCACAATATAATAATATAAAGTATGTGCATGAATAAGATAAGCATGCAAAAAGTATTTATTACTACTGTAATCAGCTGCTTTCAGAATTAGAATACCTATTAAAAGACCCACACATCTTACATATAATTCATAATGAATGCTACCTTGCTTTGTAGAGTAGAAGCTTGGATCTTGATGAAAACGCAGTCTCCTCCGTAGCCCTGCACAGAGCTGCCGCAGACAGGAGAGAGCCTGCAAGTGGAGGTAGCTCGACTCACCTTTGCCAGAACCCCCCCTCAACAGAGAAATAAGGTTCTGAAAACAGAGGATATTAGAGGTTATATAATACTGTGACTCAGGAATACAACCAGTAATATCCACTAAGGATATTGTTGTGATTGGGTCAATATTCTAACTGATTAAGAAAAAGGAAATCAGAGACTAAGCTGAGACAAACAATGCAAAGAAACTGGTTGTAAACAGGAACTTAACTCAGACAGTGATAGAAAAGTCGTAATAAAGTTCACTTAATAAAAAGGGCAAGAGGAATTGAATTATTGAAACAGCAATTTGTTCCAAGTTCAGATTTGCTGCCCTCTGTTGCTAATGATGTCACGTCTCTACATTCGAAGTCTTTTAATTTAGCTTAATGGCTCTAGTAACTCAAAGGAGGGGCAAGTAAAGCCATGAGAGGAAAAGTACTTTCCCCTAATGATTTGTTTTTGACTGCTGGGTGACAGTATGCTAATACTGGCCTGAGACCGATGCAATATAATGCAATGTTCTATTAACAAAATAGTAATGTTTACAGCGGTTCATCGGGGCAACATGATATCTCCTAAGACTCTCTGTGTATTGCAATGAAATGAAGACTCCCACTTTTTATGAAGATGGGGAGAGAGCAGATCAGTTGAACGGGCCTGTGTATTAGATGAGTTCAGTTACACTAATTGTACACAAGCACACTGACCTGCTAATCTACTAGACAGAGCTTTTAAAATTCCTCCCAAGTCAAAAAAAGTTAGAACCCCTGTTTTCTATACAATCTCTGATTCCTTAAGCAAAACCTTCCACCAAGGACTTTCACACCATGCATGAGGTACATCAGGACCAAACTCTTATCCTCATCGCAATCTTGTGCCTGCTCAAGCAAACTAAACCTCCAGAGGCCTCCTCAACCTCCTGCAGGATCAGGGACACTGAATTATAAATTGGTGTTTTGTTCAAGGGCGCTATTTGACAGGTTATTATGTTGACAATGGCCAGAGTGACCATCCCATAAATCCATTATGAGGTGGTCACGCTAGCCCCTCAAAACAATACACTACATCTAATTGATGTGAAGTATTGCGAATAACATTTGAAACTGTTGAAAATCAGGGGAGAAATATACAAACCCTGGAAATCTTCAATGACATCTTTTATTTGGTCTCTGTGGAAACCCACGTTGAAAATGTGCAGAGGATTTGGGGTCCACAACAAGCCTTTATTTTAAGTAAAGACAGTTCAAATTTTCCATCAAGTAAAAGGGATTCGTTTTGAACACTGAATTTATACGGACAAATATATATCACTGATGGTTATTCTAATGCCCTTATATGAAGTACCATTACTATTAAAACCCTACTTCACTAGGAACACTACACTAATAATCAGTAGCACTTTCTTTGCTTTAAAAACAGTATTATTTCTTTGTCTCATAGATATTAGAAGAAATCCTTTGAGACTCTGGTCCATGTTGACATGATTGTGTCACGTCAGCTTCGCACAATGAGTGCATCCATTAAAAGATGGCAATGCATGGATCCTCAGCATCAATACCTAGATATCGTGCCAGAAAAACAATCCCTACACCTTTACACCAGCAGCAGCCTGGACACAAGGCAGTTTGTCCAGTGCCACCTCAGATTTCTGTTCATGGCTGACAGTAGTGGAACCTGACATGATCAGCTGCAGAAGTTCCTCAAGTTTTGACATGTTCATTCTGAGATGCTGTTTTGCTCACCAGTATTAAAGAGAGGTTATCTGAGTTACCAAAGCCTTTCTGTCAGCGCCAACCAGCTGTAATGTGTTAAATTTCAGAGGGATCAACAGTTTTAGAAATACTCAAACCAGCCTGTCAGGTAACATTAATCCTACTTTACCCATCACACAACATTAACTGAAGCTCCTGACCTGTGTCTGCTTGATCTTGTTCACTGCTGCTATTTGATAATTACATGAACATGCAGGTGTAGAGGTGTCTCTGTAAGTACATAGTTCCTGAACGTGATCAAAATGGCTGTCATTCTGAGATGACCTGTTATAGCGTGAGATCAAACCTGTGAAAGCTGATAAAGGGAACTGCAACCATTATAGCACATTATAGCACAAATTTTTTAACAAGAACATGGCAATGTGACAATACCTTTACAATACTTGGCCTCTGCAGGAAGATCTCTGGAGGAAAGTCCTGCATAATCACATCACACAGAAGATCGCATGTGGTTCTCACCAAGTTTGGGTTGTTGCTCCTTAGGGAACTGTTTAAATATAATTAAATCAGATAATCTTCCATTAATCATAATTAGGCATATATTATAATTTTCGAAATCGATATGTATTGTCTCTCACCTCTCATTGGATGAAAGTATGTGTCTGTCTGTGTTTGTCAAAGTCAGCCAAGGAAACACAGAAAACTTCAGACATCTCACAGACTCGTGCACTGTAAACCAAAATGAAGATTTTAAGAGGAAATATTATATTTTGCCTTTGGGGAAAAATATGAAGTAAACTTGAAGATTAAACCAAGCACATTGCAAAACTTGAGATGTTTTCAAAAATACTGGCACCTGGGATCTTGTGAGGTGGAACTTCTGTACGAGCTGGCATACTCTGGTGGAAATAGCCCATTTTAGGAAAATCTTCAGGTGGAACAACTGATGGAGCTAAAGTGGAGACATCAGATTTGATTAAAAAGACTTTGATAAGTAAAAGTGAATCCCACTTTTCTCCAACATCGGATTATGAACATTTATTTATTCGCAGAAATCAGACTCAAACAACAAAAAAATATTTGGCTCCAATAGTCTACTCACCTGTCAGAGCTGCATTACATGGACCATGTGAGTAGACTATTGTTTTGCCGGGGAGAAGCTCGGGCAGCTGGAACAGCTGGTCCAGGGTTCCACTGATGACAGCTCGCAGTCTGGGCTCCACGTTAGGAGACAGCTGAGTGAGGAAGTCCACTGCGCCGACGTCTCTCAGCATCTGCGCTGCACTCGGATGCTTGGACGCCAAATGACAGAGTAAATAGTTATGAAATGGAAAATATATTGTTCACAGTAATGTTAAGTGAAACACTATCACAGCCATTAGGATGTGTATTTGCACCTGAATGACACTGGGCAGACCTTGTTGCGTTTATGATCATTCTGACACAGTAAATTATGTTTATTGTTTGAACAGTTATATCGGGTAAGAAACTTCTTTGTACTTAATATTGAAAGAGGCAAACACGGACCGTTTAATTGTGAAAGCCAGTTCAAACCAATGACTACCATATTTACAGCTTAACTGTTTCCATTACCGGTCCAAAAAATAATGCACTACAAAATCCTACTGATCACCTTTACAGCCCTCCACCACCTCACTCAACTGACCCATACCTGTCGGACCTTCTCCATCTCTGCACCCTTCACGTGCCCTGTGCTCTTTGTTTTCTCTCTGTCTCAAATTTAAACTCTCCTACAACTGGAGCACTCTGCCACCTCACATGCACTGGAATCTACTGGACAATTCAAAGCACATCTGCTTAGATCCACCTACCATACATAAAACAAATCTATTCTTCACAAATCGCATTGTAACCTTAGGCTTTACTTTTAGTCACTTTTGTTTTCATGTATTGATTTACTGTAAAGATTATTTGCCTCTTGACCTGAATTTAACCTTGGTATTACTTTTGAATTATTCTTGTGTTGCATACAGTATGTTGTATCGACAGGCATTTGTGTCTCCTAATCTGGCTTTAATGTTTGGTTTTCTTAATGTTTCAGGTGTTTATTTATGATATATTGAATGGTGTCCTCGGGTGTCTAAAAGGCAAAGTGAAATAAAATGCCAATTATTATTATTTTTTCCTTGGCTACACATTTATAGCATCAGCTGTTGAAAATGCTGTCCCCCTCAGGCCACGTCCTGTCAAAAAGACATTGTCTTACAGGTCTGGGCAACAAAACAATCAATAATCATTGCATTATATTTAATAGCAATTTCACATCAGTCTAATATATCGATACAATCCTCAAGCATTGTGCACGATGAGGAGTGAATTGATCTACCTCAGATTATTTTAATGTTTTGCTGTTTGTCAACTATTTGTCATTGACCCCTCAACCATCACCCAGGAGCAAAAATCTGTCTTTAAACCTGAAATAAATTACAATGCGATATTAATTATTATAGTTAGGGACTTTATCCAAGCTAACATTTATACATTTGGCCATATCACCTAGCTCTACATAGTTATCCACCTTTGACAGGGTTGTGAGCAGCTCCAGGACCTGCTCTTGCATTGGCACCTCGGGGAAATTAAACCACTCCAGCAGATACACAAACAGCATCTTCTCTTGGACGATGTCAGAGACGGAGATCAGGGAATGCTCCAGCTTGGATATGATGCTCTTCAGTGCTCGAACTCGTATCTCCACCAGCGAGTGAGCTGCGGTTTATAGGAAACACAGTTAGGATGGCAGGAGACGCTGAGGCAGCTTCAGCAAACTTTTGTTTTTAATTAGCCGGTTAGCATTGAGTGAAAGTGCAAGGAAGTTAGCTAACGTTAGCATCGTTTGGCTCTACGTACAATACAAAAACCAGCTAGCTAACAGTTCACATTAAAACGATATATGTGAGGGGAGATGCTACTGTTAGCTAACATGCAGGCGGATATCTTTTGTTGACAAGTTCGGGTAAAGTTAGCACCCTGGTCCAGAGCTAATGAACTTAGCAGCAAAGTTAGCCTACCTATTTTCTTTATAAGGGGAGATAGCTCCATGTCCAGTGTGTGTGGAGTGTCCCTGTGGTGAAAACAAAGCTGCAGCTTCTATCGAGGTTTGTCAGGTGTCATGTCAACACCGTCTGTGCCCGGGTTTGTTTTCAACGACCGCGCCAGCGTCACTGCACTTCCTGTTCACGAGCAGGCTGCGTTCAAGAGCCGCAACTGTGATGCAGAGACACCGCAGAGGTGCTAATGTGTTTTCACAAGATCCTCAAACAGTTTGAATGGAGACACGAGAGTGAAGACACCTACAAGCGACTCCTCAAGCGGATTATATTTATAAACTGCAGAGACTTTATAGATATCGGCAATTATTAGATTTATAAATAGTGCAGAACTTTGAATATGCATTTGTAATCACTGGATTTTTAAACAGAGCAGAACTTTTTATTTATATCTACACTGATTATATTTCAAACAGTGCAGACATTTCCATAGATAATACATTGATTGTATATGTAAACACTGCAGAACCTTAACAAAGATTTGCACTGGTTATATTTATAAACAGTGCAGAACCTTTAATACATATCTGCACTGATCATATTTGTAAAAAAGGGCAAACGTTTTCATGTATTTCTGCAATTATTATATTTATCAACAGTGCAGAACTTTTCACAAAGATTTGCACGAGTTATATTTGGAAACAGTGTGAAATCTTATCTGTATAAACAGTGGAGAACTTTTCAGATACCTGCACTGATTATATTCTTAAACAATGCAGAACTTAGCATAGATACGCATAATAAGAACTTTCAAAACAACATACAACAAAACACGTCATCGAAGACAACAAAACATTCGTGCCAGCTGCATACATGTAAAAACAAACCAACCAAACAAAAATACTCACATTTCCCAAACACAAAGCTAAGTAGCAGTTACCAAAACCACCCAGAGTATTAAATAGTTGTGCATATAATATATTTTGATCTATGTCAATGAGACTTTTGATAATAAAAGTGATTGATTACCCTAGCCCTAAATCACAGTTGATCAAATTATATTCTCACGATATCCTTTCCTTTCAGCACAACTTATGAAAGTGTTTCCACATGAGAGCGGCACACAACTCTCATCTGATCTTCTGAAACACTGTGTAAACACGCGAAAAGTGATTTCTCTGGCCGGGATCATCAGTGTTTCAAAGCTTGTTTCAAAATCAATGACGGCTTTTGCAATGCTGACACACTGAGTGAAGTTTTGACAGCGAGCCACATTATCCTGTCATTAAAGAATAAAACTTATCAAACATTGATATTTTCAAAAAATCTGATTTGATGTGTATCACCCCTTAACAAGTGCAGGCATAAATTATTTTCATACTCTGTGTGTAAATTAATTTTAACCCTACGCGATCTCACACTCGAGATGTGATGTGGATACGATCAGCCGACAGGGTGATAATTAACTAACTTAGCAAATGAGAATTTGATATGACAATTTTATGATCATACGTCTTTTGAGAATTCTGGAGGGATTTCAGCCCATAATTAATTTGGCTGTGGACTGTATGTTATTTTTCAGCTCGGTTCTTCAGAGTTTGATGAGGTAAAAGGGAAACAATAATTCATACCTGACTGTTTAAGGTACATTTCGTAGCAACATATTCCATCAGTTTCTCCTTAAGTGACGTATGTATGTAGATACAGCTTTTTTCTCACAGTCTTTGACAACATCACTTATACATCACTTTGTTGTAGAGCTTCATAGATCTCATTTAATGCATAGCAAGCCACATTGCCCAATGTTTTTCTATAGCTTTACCATTACACTAAATTGAAAATCGTTACACACACACACACACCTTCAGCTTTGTGTGATGTGCAGTGTTTGAAAACCTTTGCATCTCGACCAGAATTTTAAATAAGGTTTTGTGGGTTGGAACAAAGGTTTTCTGCACAACACAAGTCATATTGATGGACCTGCCAAAGGCTCCATTGACCTGTGGAGGTTAAAAAATGTTTCCCTCTTCCCCCAGCCTCTCATAGAGTATATAGGACTGAGTTTATATGAATGTTTTTTGACATTCTACAGATGTACCAGAACACAGAGTGAGAGCTCCGGCATCCAAACAACTGAGGAGGCCTTTTCTACCTGAAGCAAAAACAAAAACAGAAACTCTAATTCAGACAAGGAGTTCTCGATACCTGATGAGTCTGCTCCAAATCTCTTATAACTTTTTATTGGACAGCCTCAGTAGGGATTGTAACTTTAAACTTTAAATAAAGGCAGGATAAGGTTTATGCCATTTAACCCTGTCAGGCAAATGCTTTTCACCTACTTGAAGGTCGTGTTTCGATCTAGTTTCCCTCATACAGTGACAATGAATCCCAAATTGCCATAAGTGTTTGATTGATGTGTCATAAACTCTGTGACTGTATCAATGTGTGTGGGAATGGTTGAATGGCAAAACTGTACTCTGAAGCACTTTGAGTGGTCATCAACAACAGAAAGGTTGGTGGAACTTTCCCTTCCCCTTTGCAAACCTACTCCCTTCCTCATGGGATTTTAAAAGTGCATGTAAATAGAAATAATCCATGTATCACCAAATGTTTAGCAAGAGCTGCTGCAAAAACACTGGTTGTTGCCCATGTGACTATTCTTGCATAAAGCAAAGTCGAATCAGTTAATTAATCATGTCATTAGTGTAATTCTCCAAAATTCAGGTCCACATATAGTAACAAAATAAAAGGAGGTATGGATAAAATTGATAACGTGAAATCAAGGTAGACGTTATAACAAACTCCAAGAACGAACATAGACAAGTTATTCATTATTTTAACCAAGCAGCAATTTGGACTGAGTTCAAGTCTGTATAGCTGAGTCATTACATTGTATGTGTACACAGCTGGTGTACAGTAATGAATGCATCTTTAAAGACCTCTTAGCTAAGCACATGGGGGGGAATGACACCAATGGCTGATTTAATTTTCAAACATCACAAAAAGAAAATCTGCTGAAACTGAGACGAAGAAACGAAGGAGGCCTGCCACAAACGCTCAGGCCGCATTTTTAAGGCGAACCCTTAATTGTTATTCTACAGTCTCTGCCGAAACAAAAGCCCAAGTGGTCCCAGTGGCCCCGTCACTGTTTGACATGCCTGCTGTACCCGTCTTCCGCTCTACCGAAAGTGTTGAGGATATGAGGGTGGGCACCGAGGGGGCCCCACAGACAAACCCCCCTGTCGCCACCAGAGTGGAGTCATAGGACTGAGTCGAGCTGAGGCGAGCGCAGACATATTGTGCAGATAATTTATGGCTGATGCAGCATTCATTTGAAATTAAGATGAAACGCGGTGAGCCTCCCCTCATGTAGAGGTATCTCATTAAACAGTGTGACCCGCTCCGTGGCTACACCCCCCCCCCCCCCCCCTTACTTGAGATTCAATATTTTGAGTTGTGTGTTTACGTAAATTCCAATCCTATCAAAGTGATGATTTTTCTCCACAGGTGCCAGAGGTTGTGATCTGTGATCATGCAGATCCTCAATTCCTATCAGACTTATAAGAGCAAGGTTTCATTTAGGTCCTCCTATTAAAAACGATTTGATCTGTTTATCCTGTCATAATATAAGAGCTTGGGTTGTGCCCACAGCTGAATGTTTACTTGTTGGTTCTGTGGCAACAAATGTCAGACCAAAGTTTGTTTCTCAGGTCTAATTTAGATGGTAGAGAAATTGCATCCCTGCTCTCCGATGTCCTCGCCGCTGTATCTAAGTACTGCCACCCAACCCCCTCCTGCTTTTTTTCTTCCCACCATGCAGCCCTTCCCTCCTGTGCCAACACTTCAAGTGAAGGCAGCCTGATCAACCCTAATAGGGCCTGGTAATTAGAGTCTTTGCATAGAGCCTGTCTGCACGCAGCTTCCCTAAGCAGGTTGGGAAGGGACTGCCATACACTTGACAGTGTGGAAAAAACAATGTAATGTTCGGAGTATGGGCCAAATTAGTCCGGCAGTGGTAAACACAATCTACTTTAAAACAATACTGACACTAATTAGGCGACCAATGTATCATTTCAGAGTTCAAGTTTTAGTTGCTGCATCAAATACTTGAAAATACTTGGAGAGCCAACTTGATGTTTCTGGAATACAAATGAGAAAGAGCTTATTCCTGCATAAAGAACCAGCATTAAAGGAAAAGATAGTGTAATGCTTGATATTTCAATGGTTAGACGTGGTTATATTCCTGTACAGCAAGAAAACAAGCATAAAATAAACTAAAATAAAGCACTTTTTTCAGTTATTTGGTGTTATAGTTTAAATGTTTCTACTTTTGTTTATATCTATAAACCTCCAGGACTTCTGCTTTACACCCTGCATACAAAGCTTGTCATCTAAATCAACCAATATAATATTTGATGTATATTAGAATTTTGAAGCTATTCAGTTACATTGCACAATGAGAAATGATGCAGCAGATATGTGGTTAAAGACTGGAGACCTTCCCATACTTATGAAAAAGCCAGATTGTTTGGTTGGTGCATTTCTAAATGCTGTCTGAGGGAGTGTAACACTATCTCGTTTATAATAATACTCAATCATTTGTAATAGTCAATAATTTCATGTGTCACAGAAAGCTAGTTTTTGTATCTGCTATTGTGAGTGAGCTGAATAGACTTTGTCCTATTCTAAGTTGTGCAGTTGATAATATTCAGTCAATTTTCTTTTCCAGTATTAAATCTGCTACATATTAATTTCCAATTCTAACTCATCACTTCTTTGAATGTTTATGGGATATTGTTCAAAGTGGTGGCATCATGTGTAGAGTAACATGCTCTATGTATAGTTAATGTAGTGAAATGCTATATAGTTATATAGGTTGCCAAAGATACAGCTTTAGAATTTTTTTTATCAAAACAAAATAAGCATTTGAATGGCTGTGTTTAGGACCTCTCTGTGTGTATACATGCAGATTAGAAAGATCAATACAGTCTTTGTGTTGCCAGTTGTCATATGTCTTGTTTATTTCTTTAGTTGTCACAGAGTATGTTGCGTTTTTGCAACACAACAGCGAGCCACAGTTGGGGTTAGTGTTTCTGTGCTTTTTGCTGTGCTTTATGTGAATACAATTCGTTTCTCTAACCCAGAGAGAATAAATGTTTTTTCTAATTAGGGCTAACAATATCAGTAATTATCACAGTATAATTTGCATTAATAGCAATACAACAAAAGTCTAATGTATATATTCATATAATTCTTATGTATTGTGCAAGCACAGCATTATAACATTTATTTTATCTACCTCAGATTCATCTGATTCATCGTTTGTCCTTTTCTGCACATAAAGACGAGATAAAACCACAACCTTCTCTCAGGAGCAAAAATCTGTCTTTAAATTTAAAACAAACAACAATGTGACATTTATCATGATAATTATCAATATGAAAATATTCATTCATATTTTTTTGGGCCAGTCCTAATTCCAACCACACATAAATGATTATTTGTGTAATAATAGACAAGTGAACAAGAAAGAAAGAAACAGATTTGGAGATCTTTTGTCATTTTTATACCTATATTGTCTTATTAGCAGAATAGACTAATTGCAATATGAATATTTTATTTGTGAAATTATTTACAGATCAGGTGAAGTATATTGAATTCTTATTATTATTATCATTTTATAACATTATGGTTATTATTCTTTCTATTATTATTATGATGGACATCCCTTCTCCTGTGTGTGGATGTGAAAGTTGCTGTTGCTGCTCTGAGGCTGATTCGCTGCCTCTGAATCTGCTCCCACAATTCAACAGGCAACAAAGGAAGAAAGGAAGAGGCCACAGAGCTACCAGGTGTTAGCCGAGCCCAGGCTGCGAGATGACACCTTATCGTGTCATTCTGCTCGACACGTTCAGAAAAACCTCCGGATCCGGACTGATGCACAGCTGGATGCTTCCGTTCGAGCGCAGGAGCTGAGTAGAGCAAAGGTAACGCTAATGTTTTCGGTAGCACACGCTAACAAAGCTAGCCTTAGGTGGGAAGCTAACATTAGCCAACAATCGTCAAGTAGCGAAGCTTTTAATGAACGTGCTGCACGGGACAGATGCCAACATCCCGGGTTTATTTTGCTCAAACTACACAATACACGACTATACAGTGTGCACTGTCTGTAGATTGTAAATGCAACATGTAAGGGGATATGCTAACAATTTAAATGGTTGTTAGCCGCTCCGTGTTAGCTTACAAGCAAGCTAGCAACTGTTAAATGGGCTAGCTAAAGTAGATAAGCGTGTTTAGTTGCTCGTTGTTGTATTAGCTCCTCTGTATTAGATTGTAAAGTGATCGTAGCATGTTGTTTTTATTGTGTTGTTTTTAAAGGTGCTTGCTAACAAACGTAGCCGAGCTAAAGGCATGCTGTTGTGTCAGTGGGCCTTGTCAGGTCAGGACCAACCTGGCTAACGTTGGTTGAATTGTGTCAACCGGGTTGTTTTTAAGTGATTCAATTGCTTACAAAACGTTTTCCTCTCATGTAAACTCACATTGGATCCGTTTTAAAACGTGCTGTCGTTTTCCTCCATAGCATCAAATGAAAGGTGGTGGAAGTGGAACTTGACCCATCCAACTGAGTCACCATTTTCCTGCACATAATGGTGAGTAATCACATTGCAGCTGTCTTGATTATCAAGCAGCTTTATTCAAGTGTCTTCACATACTGTTTGAGTCTTGTTTGCCAGAGCTGAGTTTATTTAACAGATGTAAATGCAATGACAAACCATGACTGGAATTCAGTGCAGCCAGTGAGTGTTTGGAAAACAGCCTAGAAAATAGCATATTTATTGAAATAATCACAGTGATGCACAAGGGCTTGTTTTCAGCTGATCGGCTACTGTTAAGTGGATATGAAAGTGGTTTTGTTTCTATTGACAGAGCTGTAGCCGTTTATATACAAGGTGAATTGTAAACAATGATCTTGAGAACACATCTAATGATCAAAAATAGTGACAGTAGCACAGGCCTGGCAGGGAATAGCCAAGCAGATGTTGATGTCTAAGACACAACAAGTCTATGGTTATAAAGGATAATAAAAAAGGTAAATTGGGCAGAGAGAGACAGTTAATAAACAAAGACATTTATTCATGTCCACCTTGGGGCCATGCTCGCATGGATTACATTGATGTAAAGACCAACAGATTAACCTAAAATGTATTAATTGAAAAGCTTTTCATTTTAATCAGTTGCACTGGGACTGCAGGGTTAAGCACTGAAACAATAAGTTGAACACCAGAAAAAATATCCAGCTATTTTGATTTTGAATTATTAATTGTGTCAGTGATTTTTCAGGTTTACCCTTCTTGGTTGTGAGGAGTTTTTGACTTAGTTAAATTGATATGGTGATGAGAAATGGAATGTCGGATGGCGTTTGCACTATTTGTCAGAGAAAAATAACACAATTCATGACAATATCTTGGGTTTTAGGGAAATTATTTTAGTATTAATAGGTTTGTTGTCATCATTTTCTGTTTGTCACACATTTTATAGACTAAATGAGTAATTGACTAATAAGGAAACAATTTTCATTATTAATGAAAAATGAAAGCAATCAGCAGTAGCAACCCTGACTGAGATAATTCAACAAAAATAGTTGGTTTTGAAATACCCGGAGACTGAATTAATTGTGTTTAACCTGCTGCGTTAAATCTTTTCAGTATCCTCTGATTTTATATTATGTTAATGGTCATAAGTCTGTGTTACAATATGTGCAATCCAGCTTTTTCACTGAAGTGAGTGTTTTATGACTGAACTTAAAATATCATCTTTTGTGTGTTGTTTTTATTCTGCAGGGTTCCATGGTTCCACTGTATGCATGACTTGTTTTGTGTGGCCTGATGGGAGGACACTGTGGATAGTACTTTCATCGGGATACCAGCAGAGCTATCCCATGCCGCCACTTTGGAGGGCCTGTCAGAATGAAGAAGATAAGCCTTAAGACCATCCGCAAGTCCCTCAGCATAAAGGGCAAAGAGGAGGGTGACTTTGTCATGCTCCAGCAGCCCTCAGTGACTCCAGAGTTTTCGAAGGAAGAGTCACTTTTTGGGGGCTGCTACACCAAAGAGCATGCTGGCTGTGACCTTGGTGGAGAAGAGGACAAGGGGGGTCAGAATAAGGGTCGCTCAAAGAGTGAGAGTCTGATGGGATCACTGAAGAGGAGGCTGTCTGCCAAGGTGAAAGTGAAAGGTGGCTCCTCTGCTATAGGCTCAGTGGATGATGATGACACATTCTCGTCCTCCTCTGTGCCGATCAGCTTCAGCGACATGAAAGCCCAGAGACCCCTTAGATCTGCATCCTTACGAAGTCACCATTATAGCCCCTCACCGTGGCCTCTGCGATCAGTCAACTCTGATGATTCATGTATTAAGGTGGATCTAAAAGTTAAAGCCATGGTTCACTCACCCAGCCCCAGTCCCAGCTTAAATGGTGTCCGGAAAGAATTTCATGATTTCCAGATGGAAGGGCTCTTTCATGACCAAGCAGAATCCTTAAAGAATCTCCAGCAGCCACAAAACGGTGAGCTGCATCTAAATATTGATGAAAATGATGTGCCTGTGGTGCTGGGGTTGACTCCCCAGGACTACATCCAGTACACAATGCCTTTAGATGAGGGAATGTACCCGGAAGGGTCCCACTCTTTCTGCATGGACAGCTCCTCTCCTATGGAGGTGGTGACTGAAGCAGACAATGGGTCCCTCCACACAGACCAGGGACAAGAGGAACATGAACTGGTGTGTGAAATGCCTCCGGATCTCTTCATGGAAACCTCAGTTAATAGTCTTCTCCTCGGTTCCGCTGGTGTAATGCTCCAAAGCTCTAGAGTAGAGGTCCCGCCTCCCCTCTCTCCACTCCTGCCACCCATGACAAGTAATGGACATATCCCCAGGACCTTTTCTGGGTTCAGTTCTTCAGACAGTCAGGTAGCTGAGAGAGTAAGACATCACCTAAACTTTGACCCAAATTCAGCTCCTGGGGTAAGTCGGGTATATGACTCAGTTCAGAGTAGCGGGCCAATGGTCGTGACCAGCCTGACGGAGGAGCTGAAGAAGCTGGCAAGGCAGGGCTGGTACTGGGGCCCCATCACACGCTGGGAGGCAGAGGAAAAGCTAGTCAACTTGGCTGATGGCTCATTCCTGGTCCGAGACAGCTCAGATGACAGGTACCTGCTCAGCCTGAGTTTCAGGTCACAGGGCAAAACCCTCCACACCCGCATCGAACACTCCAACGGGCGCTTCAGCTTCTACGAGCAGCCCGACGTTGAGGGACACACGTCCATTGTCGACTTAATCGAACACTCTATCAAAGACTCAGAGAATGGAGCTTTTTGCTATTCCAGGTCTCGTCTACCAGGGTCTGCAACCTACCCAGTCAGACTAACCAACCCAGTATCTCGGTTTATGCAAGTGCGCTCCCTGCAGTACCTTTGTCGCTTTGTCATTAGACAATACACAAGAATAGACCTTATCCAGAAACTGCCCTTACCTAACAAGATGAAAGATTATCTGCAGGAGAAGCACTACTGAGGTCACACACAGGACAGTGGTAGCAATTTGCACTTTTGTGTTCAGTTAAGAGATTCAAACAAGGTTTACAGACAACCACAGTTTTGAGATGATTGGTTCCGGTGGTTCTTGATTTGTGTCCAGGTGACTGTTTGGTCCTCCATTCCACTGTTCTGGGGTTTTTCTCTGGTTGTAGGAGGCTCTACTTCCAGAAGCATAGGCCAGCACATAATCTATCGCAAAAATATAGCAGAGGTTGACAGCCAAGTTACCATAGTTTCATACTTTAAATGTAGACACTAGGCATGTATTGTGATGTACTGTGTGTAACATCGAGCTGTGCAAGTAGATTGCTTTTTCAGAAATCTGCCATCTGCATATATGTTGGGCCAGTGAGGAAAAATAATATTCCACCGTCAATTTGAAAATTCATCGAATTTCATCCACTACATGATACATTTCAGAGATGGTTTCAAGGAATAGTATTGCTACAGTGAACCATTTTAATCAAATGTTAGGCTCTCTGCAGACTGACTGAGTTTGTTCGTCTTTTGCATCGTATTATTTCTTGGCTTCTACAACATTACCATGTTCCTCAGCATGATCTGAACACCACCCTTCATTCACTATATGCAGGTAACAGTTAAAATTGCAACAAATGGCCAATCTTTATTTTGCCCAAAATTTCATTCATCCAATTTCAGACTTGAAGCTTAACTACTTTTCCAGTGGATGCATTTTCTTCATAAAGTATTAAAAGTCATGGCACTTTTCACTAGACATAAAATTTGTTCTTCAGTATGATCAGACCAGTCTGCTTTTTAGCTAGTCATGTTTTAGTTTTTTTTACCGTTACCTGTTCTGGTGTACAAAGAGGGATGTTTTCAAACTCCAGCCACATATCAATTTAAAAAGTGTAAGATCCCTGTCAGAGTCACATCAGTTCACTGGGTCCACAACATTAACATTATGATGCAAAACATGTCCAAGTTATGTTAGTTTGTCAGAGTAGCTTTGAATTGTATGGCTGCATGTAGCCATTATATAATGTGCAAGCCTAAAGGTACTAATGATGCTGGATTTTCATGTTGTGCTGTTTGTAGAAACGGCAATTATTTGATGTTTAGACGTTTTCAAAGTATGTTAATGTTAAAAAGTTCAATCTTTCTGCATTAGGAATGTTACAAAAACTGCACAGCAGCTCAGGCCCAACAACTTTGTCACTGTGTGTAATGCTTGTATCTGCATGTAGTAAAGGCTTTAAGACTGTCAATTAAGGGCACAGTAGAGTTACTCTCAATGATTAAAGATGTCACAGTAAGAGGGGGGAAGATATCGGCCGTGTTGTTTTAGTGCTACTCCTCATAACAGGCTGTTCAATGCACAATTGCATTAACCTGAAATGGTTTATATGTAAAGAAAATGACTCCTCAATTACGCCACAGCTGAAAACAGATTTGCAGTCAGTTGAGCTGAATCTGCTTGTTGGGATGACTGTGTCTTGGTCTCTGAATAGCAGCAATAAGCTGAACCCAGATCACAGAAATTAAAAAAAATGGTGCAAAAACATATTTTGGGAAAGTAAGGGTTCGGTCCTCCTCACCAACTTGGAGTAAGGGTAGTTCCATCAAAGCTGCATGGCATCATTCGTGTCATATGGATTTCAAGGACATTGGGATAAAAAGCATAAGCCATTGCTTATTCACGTCGTCCACTGTCACCACCGAGCTGCATTACCACACAGATTGTCTCGCTTCTAGGCTGTTGTGCCAGAGTAAAGGGAAGAGCACACAGGATGCTACGTAAGTGCTTTATATGGATACTTTGACAGGGAATTGTTTTTTTCACAATATGAATGAGCATCTTTTTTGACTTTAGTGTCCTTAAAAGTATTTGGGAAATGGTCTCTCGGACAACATAAGTAGGTTGTTGGCGCATAGTTCTAGTTTTAGTTAGCAAGAAATGTCGGCGTCCGAGGAAGTGACCATGGTTCTAGCACAGCAGAAATTCAAATAGGAACTTTGAATGGTGTTGCATGTTTAAAGACTTAGCATTTTAAAGCTTTGAGTTGTATAGGAATGAAGGATCTAGGATGTGTGTTTGGCTGTGTTAAAGGATGTTTTTTTTCTGTCACAAACATTGGCTGGACATTCTGTGTACACGAAATGCATTTTTCTTTTCAGTGAGTTAGTTTTTTTGATATTTGCCATCTGGGGGATGGGGGCTGTACAAAAGGAATGTACGCTTGTTTGAGGTATCCATTTTATCTGCCTGCAAACCAGTTTCAGAAAGCATGAGAATCATAAAAAAAACTACATTGACACATTTTTGCACTTGAAAATCCCCCACAACACACTTGGATCCTCTCCTGCCAGGAGTTGTCCTTCAGATGGCATCTTGAAAAAAAAAAAGAGAAGAAACAAAGTCATATATTTGTCTTTATGTGTTCATATAAATGTTTAGATGAAGTCAAGATTGTTTTGTTTCTGTCATATCTGTGGGATATAAAGGGTAAAGGCACCAGCATCATATCTAAGCCTCTGCTAATTCTCATGGGCTGTCAGCGAATGGGATCACGGCAAGAATGTGGATGTAAACTTAATTTGACAACTTCTTTTGGATGCGTGTGTATGTGTTTCATTTGAAATGTGAAAGTAAAAACGTTTTAGTCTTTTTTAATACAATGTTGTTTTAATTGTATTTCTGTATTGATTTGCAATTGGTCATCCAAGTTTGACGAGCAGGAACCAGTTTCTTATGGCGTTGCTGCTGGGATTTTTTTTTTAATACTCATAGTTTATTATTAAGCATTATTGCCTTCGATGTTTGATTCCAGAGGTCGATGCTTGTTAATAACAGCTGTCTAGCACTTAACAAGCTCCACGATTTTTGTTTTGCATGAAGGTGATTGTTTACAACATTGTTTGAAAATACCCCAATCTCTTTTCAGTT